TGCAGGTTTTTGGGATAACCTGTAGGTCAGCTGTTCAAACCCAGGTGTGAGGACTCTTCAGCCAATCAGTCCTCTAATTAGTAATATAATTAGGGAGTTGCAGTGAAAACCCGCATACACACCGGCCCATTGCGGATAAGATTGGCCACTCCTGGACTAGTAAGTTCCCCTGCTGTCCTTCATCTTATTCTGGTCTGTTTCATGCCCGTATTTGTTCCAGTATCTTGCGTTGGTGTGTGTCTGGGATTTTTTCTCATTGTGTCCTCTTCTGTCTGGTGTTGTGGCCCCTTGTGTCAGCCTTTCTGTTGCCCAGAGGGCAGACATTTTGTGGGGGAGGGGTTTCAATCACACCCTGCCCATCCTGCCCATCCTGCCAACCTGATCCAACTGTCCTCTCCCCTGGACATGGCCTAACTAGCCACACCTGGCTCCTGTTAGCCCTCCTGCTCATTCTTGCCCTTCTGTTAATCACCTCCAGCTGTCTCTTGATTGCCCCTTGTTGCCTATGTACCTAAGTGCTCCCCAGTCCTGTGCCCCGCAGTTCTGTCATTGTTACTTGTCCACGCCCCAGAACCTGCTTTTTTGTCTAAATAAAATCCTCTGTGGCAGTCTGTTCAGCACTAAAGCTGCTTCTGGGACGTGCTTCCCCTTTCCGGCATAACAGCTGTAAACTTCAGCATTATTTTTGTCCACTGATGTCTTGAAAGTTAGTTCAAAATGTTCAATGTGAGCCAGCTGATATATACAGATTGGTGTTTTTGTATATAGAAAGTCTCAACATTATTACACTACAGTCGTAATATCACAACATACAGATGTAGCCACTTGTATTTTGCCCTGTTTCCATGATGGGCCATTGGCTGGTCCATGACAGGTCCCTGCTGGGTCCTGGGTGGGACCTTGACTGTAATGAGATCCCCCACGATGATGTAATGAGCAAGGGGGCCGGCATGATCCGCCCCTTAACTCTCTGTGTGTAAAGTACTTGCAATCCTGCTTTGTGAAGTACCGCCGATCTCAACCCTATTGAAAATCTGTGGGTTATGCTTAAAAGAAACCGTGCCAGGAACCCAACTAGTTTAAATGAACTAGAAATTCTGCAGAGATGAGTGGTCAAATATTCAGCCCGAATTACGCCAGAAGCCTGCTAATGGCTACTAAAAGATTCTGGTTGATACAATGTTGTCCTTGTGTATGTAAACTTGTGACCACAACTAAAATGTGTTTTTGTAAAGATAGCGCCATCTCATGGTAACACCCTGCAAGTGAATAAATGGGCGGGTTTAGACGAGAATTTAGGTACACCCCCAGAAGGAGGGGGGTTACTCCCTTTGGCTGGCTTTTGGCAGGCAGCCAGCTGGGGGGGTTAATGAGATGGCTGCATCTGTAAATAGGTGCATGTAACATGTAGCTTTTTTGTTCAAATGTGGGAAGTATGGTAGGTCTTTATTTTTTCAACAGAAGGATGATGACAGTAGCATCAACAGATAACAGAGACAAAAACTTATATGGGAAATTGGCAGGCAAGAATTAAAGCAGACACTGGAGAGATAGCACCTTATAATAAAAGAGTAATAAAAGAGACATCTTACATCCCACTGCTTTAAAGCAAAAATAAATGTAGTTACGAGGTCTCATCATTCAGGTACATATACACATAGGCACAAAGAAACTCAGGTACATTACCCTCAGGTGGATTATCAGGGGTAAGCTGGAGGTATATCGACTGAACTTAATAAAATTGTAAATATAAAGTTTTAAAAAGAAACATTTTTGCAGGATACTTAAAATGATTTTGAAATTGTTGTGAAATTTCCGTTCCTAACTTGCTGACTATTATTGAATGCACGCATCCAGACGCATATTCTGATAGGGGTTATAGTAGGGCCTGTAGATCATTCTAACATACTGTTATAATGTTGTGAGTATTATTAATGTATAATGGTAGTATTCAGATCAGATCATGTATGTTATTTTTCAGAAGCTTTACTTATCTGCATACATTTCTTGACCCCTGTTACATTTGTAACACTTCCCCATTCATACTCTGTTTTCTACTGCCCAAAATAAATTTTACAATAACTACCCCGAAACTAAGGTGGGGAAGGGTGACGAATGACTGTATGAGTGGCATGTCAATGAATGAGTGACATGTGTGATCTGGTGCTGGGAACGGTGAAGATAGGAGTAGGAGTAACTCTAGTTTTGTCTGCTTGTGAGTTCACACTGTTCAGTACATTTGAATAATGGAGTCTTTGCAGTAAATAACTATGTGTACTGTGTCTGCTGAACCCCCTATTCTCCCATGATGCCCAGTGATAAAGCTGTTTGTGTCCCACTCGTGTCCCTGCAGGGACACGATGCTACAGACTGGCAGCAGTGTGTCTTGGGATGCTGTGTTTGCTCCTGCTGTTGATCATCACAGTCATTTCTGTTTACTGTGAGTTTGTTAGTTATACTTTAGTATTAAGATCCACTAGCTGTCTGATATAATAAGTAATGTTTAGCGTGTATACCATGGTGCCATGTCTCCGAGAGCCTATTATGTTCCAGAATTAGTTAGTCAATAATGTGAGTTATGTCATGTGTCCTTGTGTATGTTTTTTTTTCTCTTGTAGGAGAACCTCATAATTCTTTGTGTTTTCTCTGGATCGGTTGCCCCTTAATACTAGACTCAGTGTTGTGATTTAGGACATACGATCACTGCATGTTCTCATTCTGCTCTGAATGTATTGTGGAACAATACAATTTCCTGCTAGGGCTGCACAATATCACATCGTGATAAAATCGTGATGTATTCTTATGTTTATTAAATTCAGTTAGCGGAGCATGCCACATGCTACTGTTTTGTTAAATCATGAAAGCGAAAGGTATTGTTGTGGTGGAGAAAGGTACAGATCAGTAGCCACAGCATCTTTTGAAAGGGGAGGTATTGTGGATAAACAAGGTAAAAAGCCTTTGGTTCTGTGGCAGTACTTTGTAGTTTAAAGTCTGACATGTTTATTAAGCATAAGGATATGTCGAATTTACATAAATTACTAGCTTTTATGAATATGCCTCTCATTAATATTTTAGGCACACTACTAATCTGCTTATCAAATTATGGGCATAAGTAAGTGCCCATGTAGTATCGAAAAGCTACCGCCGGCAAATGTTTACATCCATCATCTAAAGCAGGGGTGTCAAACATACGGCCCGCGGGCCGAATACGGCCCACTATGGTGTCCAATACGGCCCGCGGGATGATTTGAACAATAGTATTAAATATCAAATCTTTTTTATTATCATTATATCATGGTCACATTTCTTCTCATCCGGCCCTCACCCTAACATGAGTTTGACACCCCTGATCTAAAGCTTTATAATCACATCACATTTGTCAGCACTAATTGGAATCTGTTCTCTGAAATCTTATGTAAATGATTGTACTGATATTGTTGAAAGTACGATAAACAAATTACAAGTGCAAATATTTTTTCTATAATTTGTTTGGAAAAACTACAAATTAAGATAGATAGATAGATTTAATCTTTTTTTGTTTTATAGATAGCAGAATATTAATTGCAAATATTTCAGATCATTGCTATGGGATATCACGCAGCCTTACTTCCTACTATAGTNTTTATTTCACATAACTTAATCTATGTACTTATTTGTTTTGATTTCTTTGTATATATGTGTGGATTACTTGGGTTGTTACCGACATCTGGTGTAAATTTCATGTCAATAGATCCTTTAGAAATATATTTACTGAGAAAAATGTTGACGCGTTCAATACTTATTTTCCCACTGTATGTAAATATTGATATTGTTGAAAGTATGTCAAACAAATTACAAGTGCAATTATAGTCTGTATAATTTGTTTTAAAACTCCCAAATAAAATAGATAGATAGATAGTGTCTACTGCCAGATAACAACAAATTGTCTTTGGCTGTAGTTTATTTCAGGTCAATTTAATCTTTTTTTGTTTTATAGATAACAGAATATTAAGTGCACATATTTCAGATCATCAATATCATGCAGCCCTATTTCCTATTATGGTCTGTTTTAAATACATATCATAAATGTGAGTCATTTAGTGACTTTTGTTTGGTTATCTGCTTCAGATAAAGGAGCTTTTAATGATTTTGAAGAGACGTTCAGCATGTTAGCAGCAAAGAGAGACCAGCTACAGGGAAATTACAGCTCACTGAAGACGAACTACAATCAGCTACAGACCAATTACAGCATCGTGAAAACAGAGAGAGACCAGCTAGCCAGTGCAGCGCAAAGTGAGTCAGTTATTTGAATTTCCAGAGTAAGATGCTCATCATGGAGATTCACACCTTTTGGTTGAGTGTTTTTTGAGTAAATTAAAAGTTGATGACCTCAATAACTGATAAGAAAAATGTAACCTAAGGAGTAACAAAACATTTGGCAGCCAGAAACAGCTGTATCCAGTGCGACATCTCTTTGGCTCCAGTGTTTACGAGCAGCTGAGACACAAGCATATGAGCTATTTTAATTTGTCTTTCCCTGTATCTGGCTCTTCACTCACATGCACTGCTTTTGATCTCATGTTGTAAAGAGACATTGAGGAGAACTGTAACTGACACCAGTTCTGAATGTGCTGTGCAGTATTTCTATTGTAACATGACACCTTATCCTGGATCACACTATCCTTAAGATTAATCTATTTTTCACTGCAGGACCCAGATGTCCCTCAGGCTGGATTAGTTTTAATTTCAAATGTTATTACGTGTCTGATCGACAGAAGACTTGGATTGACAGTCGGGAGGACTGTAAACACAAGGGAGCAGATCTAATTATTATAAACAGCTTAAAGGAACAGGTCAGAAAGTAAAAACATGTCAGATTATTATATTCATAGGAGAATTTCATACAGCTTCTCTCGCAGTGATTATGAAATATATCGATGGACAGAAAGAGGATATGGAAAGTGAAGGGAATTTTTAATGGTGATCTTAATCATACACAGATATTTATAATTGTTTTACTACATTTTAGCTGATATTCAGTAAAGACCAGATAGCTTGGATCGGTCTGACAGACAGTGGCCATGAAGGAACCTGGAAATGGGTGGACGGGTCACCACTGACAACAAGGTGAGAGAGATTACTGCTACAGAAGGACACCAACTATTACATTATCTTCACAAAAATTTTAAAAAATCTGATTTTCATTGTTTTTGTGTTTGCCTTTATGTTAATTGTTAGCCAGGTTGATGTATAATTATGCTGCTGTACATTCTATTATGTTTTCTGGGGCAAGCCAAATTTACGATATCTCTACTCAGTAGCACTTTACTTAAAGCAGACATATAAATACATTATACATGCCTTCATCATGCATTGTAATGCATTCATAAAGTATTAAAAACATGGCTATAAATATTTCTAAAAAGGCATAACACATTATAGCCATGTTTATTATGCATTATGAATGCTCTCAGCTATAGTGTTGTCACGATACCAAAATCATGACTTTGATACGATACCTGCCGAAAATATTTTTATTGATTAAATAGGCCTACTGTAAAAAAATAGTAATGTAAATTTACAGTAAAATACTGCCCGCAGGGTTGTAAGTAGTTTACTGTTAATTGTACAGTTCATCTACTGCAATCTACTTCACAGTATGTTACTGTTATAATACCACACTGAAAAAAGAATTTCTAGGATTTACTCAAAATAATTTAGGCAACATTTTTGGACTCACTTATTTTATGATTTATTTTAACTGATTTCCTTCTTAGAAAAGTTTACCCATAAAATATTTTAAATAAATTAAGCTAAAGTTCAGCCACATTGTAAACCCTGCTAGGTTGAGTTTACTCAAAACAGTTAAGGAAATTAGTTGCTAAGTTTAAAAAGCTCAGTTGGTTGAATTTGAATGTATTATTGAACATTGAAAAATTTACAGTTTTTCTGCATTGCTAAAACACATTTCTTAACGGCTCGGTCAGGACAGAGCACTTTGTCTACATCACATGAAATACTCTCCCTTGCTGGGCGGTGCAGGGAGAATCCTCAGCGTGACCCATTTGTACCTTGAAATCTGTACCTCAAAATTCAACACACCTATGGCATTTACACTCTCATCTGGCACATATGTCTTCTAGGATATAAATAAAACGAATTTATTGAATCCGTCACTCCTTTGGTGAAACTTTAAACAGTGCTCACCCAGTTAGACACAATTTGCAGATCTGAGTCACCCTTTCGACAAAACTCTAAACACATTCTTATTCATTTTGCACTGTGGTGAACTTTGATGCAAAATAGAAAACATAGGCTGCAAAAGTTAAGCACAGTCAGTAAACAGTAGTCATGTAAACACAATGACTCAAAACTGTTCACACATGTTTCTAAGCATGAGAAGAAGCCAAACAGTGACTACAACATACAGTATGTGCTAGATGAGAGTGCAAGTGCCATAGGTGAATTGAATTTCGAGGTACAAATTTCAAGGTACAAATGGGTCACACAGAGGATTCTTTCTGCATCGCCCAACAAGGGACAGCATCGCTAGACCCAGCCCTGAGACATGGTGATGAGGCAGAATGAATATTCTTCCTTGACTCTGGCTCGGCAGTCACACATCATTTTACTGTAATATGCCTCTCATTTGGATTTTTTACTTTGTGCTTTACAGTAACCTTTTTGGAGTACCGAATACTGCAAACATTACACATCAGTTTAGCATAACTGTATACAAACATTTTTAGTAGACATTTTTTTTACTATATCCTCATGGTTTCCTATTTTGCAGCTCAACATGCAAATGACCACATCACAGTAAATGTTTCTTTACATGCCAGCAACAGTTTTGACTGGTAGTGTCTTCAGTTTTTTTGCTGTAGTGTGTACTGACTGCTCAGTAGTGTTTATGTAATTGACTGGTTTGATGTGTGATCTGAAAGTAGTGATTGCTTTGAGCAAAGATAATATAATTTTGATTAGATTGTTTGTTTGATTTTGCAAGACGAGTCAAAGGAGGTTTTTGAGTGTACTGTAGCTTGAATTTTAGGGTTTGTGTTTATTGTTCTGAGAAAAGGAGAGGAAATTTTACGAAATGCAGAAAATCTGCAATCTTCCTATATGCAATGAAATTATTCAATTAACATAGTAGTACATATCAACATAGCAAAAGTAACATTTTTTTAATCTGAATGCCCACTTACACATTTTAAATACAAAACCAAACATTTACAAAACTGCGAAGGGGCACAACCAAACAACAGATGTAGAATAATAAGCTCTTCAAAATATTTTGGGGAAAAGTGATAAGCAGCTACAAGTAAACATGTATGTAAATGGGTATTTAATGTCTGTCTTTCTGTCTCTTGTTTTATAGCTACTGGATGACTGGGGAGCCCAATAATGTAGGAGGAAATGAGGACTGTGCTGAGATAATCACACATAAAGAGGCACTGAAAAATTGGAATGACGGGCATTGCAATCAATTAAAAAACTGGATTTGTGAGCAGGGAGAAGTTAATTAAGATGAACCTCAGACATATATAAAAATGACTGATGATGATTATTTTTGAACTGAATAACATGACAGTCCCTGCTAAGCAAATGCCTTTTGTTATTGAAGCCGTTATGAAAATTAAGAGACAATATTTAGTTTTCTTAAACATTTCTTTGGTAGTAGTCATGCTTTGTTTTTTTTTATACTGGAATGCATTTTCAAGTGCTTTCAGAAAAATCTATCAAAAATAGGTTAGTTGGTACCTTCGGCGGGGCTTAATCCCCCCCCCCCCACACTATGACATCATCACCTGTGATTGACATGTCCAGCTGCAAGCCCCCCCCTTCCTTCCGATCCCCTCCACAACCCTAGCTAAAATTAAAATGAATAATTTTAAAGTTTTGTTGGGATCAATACCCCGCCGGGTCCGTGGATGAGAAGAGATTCACAGCACAGTCGAGGAGTAGTTGCAAGTCACCAGGTTATTCTGATTATAATCAGGGAGCAACCATCTGACATACATTCAGCGTGTACAGGAAGGTGCTCAAAACATCGGTATCAGTCCTGTTCATTTATAGGCCTTCTGGGGTGTTGGCCCCCCCCTCTTTTCGGTACTTTCCACCTACGTGACCACAACAGATTTTGGCTTTTGCTCTAGTTAGTGTGTGTGCATGTTCCCAGAAAAGAGTAAAAATAAGTGTCAGCTATATGATGGGTTCCTGTTCTCTTACTGTCTGGTACAAGGTCACCCTGACCTGGTCTCATGCTGACAGTTCCTGATTTTTCCCATCTACTGGTGAGATCACCTCATCCTAGTATCGGTTCCCATGTCTATTTTCTTCATTGGGTTAGAGGCCATATAATTATAAAATTATTAGGTGCATTCTTAAATGATTAACCCTTCAGTTTGTATTAAAACAATAGTTACATTTGTCAATTGGATATTTCGAAGGTTTATAATTTATGTTTTAATAGTGTTAGGGCTGTGCAGCACTCTTTTTTTTTTTAAGCTAAAACACATTAACTTTTTAAAGATAGAAAAGCCAGAGCAGACGGAATTTAAACAAGTACAAACATGGCCAAACGAAACACTGTCAGAAGAGCAAATACTGAGTTTAAGCAAGCACAAATATTTGAACACGTTTTAAAAAATGAGAAAAAGCCATTATCAGTTTAACAGTTCATTTAAATGCAAAATAGAAAAAGAAATAGAAAAATTCACGAAACACGAAGATCCACTGCCCCACTATAACGGCGTCCAAGCAGACCCGCGGCTCTGGGTTTCTACGACGCCGCGCAGACAGCGGGGTGAATGCAGAGATTATCCCGCAGCGGAGCGAACCTGACAATTATCCTCCCAGTTCAAAAGTTGCGCGTGAAATGATTTTCAGAGATGACAACAATAGCACATGCGCACGGAGAACACGGCAACTCACGCAGATACACGTTTATTTCAAAATGACGACACCAACGTGGCCATGTTAAAGTAATGAAACTCTTTTCGGACAATGTGTTGTTTAAAATAAAACACCCTAAGCATTTCAACAACAACAATGAAGGAATAACGCGGACAATCATTGTTAAAATGAGCAATGTTGCATTACCCCAAAAGTGGGGCCAGTAATGTTTTTAACTGAAAATAATTCTCTTTAACATAGATGTGCTGTTTTTAATACACTGTTTACTACAACATATGTGAATACTCTAGACAATAACTTTTAGAGTTGAATTATGTGTTTTAACATAATGTGGCGTCGATGAGCCAAGCACTGTTTGTTCTATTTACATACTGTATGTCCCAGCATGCCACACTGTTCTACTCAAAATAACCACCATCTACTAATGTTTTAAACTAGAAATAATTCTCTTTAACATAAATGTACTGTTTTTGATACACTGTTTAATACAATGTATGTGAATAAACTAGACAATAACTTTCAGAGTTGAATTTTAACATAATGTGGTGTCGATGAGCCAAGCACTCTGTCAGTAACACTTTATAATAATGGTACAAATATGAATATAAATTAGTTATTATATGACATTCATTAGTTATATGAATTAAACATTAAGTATATTATTTGTACCTTCATAATAATTTAATGCATGAATTAATAGAACATGTATCCTGAATTCCTGTTGCTCAACATGAACTAATGATGAAGCCACCATGACTTTACTTGATTACTTCACACTTACTAGGTCATCAGTTAAGGAATGTTAATTCACAGTTACTTCCTATATTATTTGATGTGCCACCAAATTAACAAATCTAAGTAATATTACACAGTGACATCATCATTAGCTGCTGAAGTCTTTCAAGTGCAAAATGGTCTGACCATTGTGCGATGTGAGGTTAGACTCAACCTGCATGGCAGCCTCATCAGGTCTCCATGTGTGAAGCTTTAATTCAGTTATATTCTCTCCCGGTTCTGGTTTCCCTTGAGTGACTAGTGTATATAACCAGTTTGGCCAGTTTCTTCTGTGAGAAGTATTATTTGCTATGAACTTCTATCAAGCATTCTTTTCTCTCACGCTTCCTACCCCTTTTCTGTGATTTAGTAAGTGTTTTGATATCGAAGGACTCACCCCCAGTACAGACTCTTTGGCGTCTCGACATCCGCACTTGTCCTTCCAGAGTTTTCTTTTTAGTGTGTAGACTGTTGAGGGATCATACCATATTTTCCCCATAATGGTGGGCATGTGTTGTGTATGAGCATGTGTGAGTTTTTGCTTTTATGTGTGTTGGGGGAGATAAAAGCAATACATTGGGAGTATGGAAGTAAAATTGGACAATGGTAGGCCCAGGAGGGGAGGCATATTGGGTCTGTTATGTCTTAGGTCTTAGGAAAGAAGAGATTGTTTTGAATACTGTGTGACCTCGCGTTGTGATAGCTGCCTGCAGTTGGCTCCGCAGAAGCTTGGACCTTGGAGAGGCAGACAGTGGAGCAAAGGGCGGGAGAAACCACTTGCAGGAAGAGACTCGAAGCCACCCCAACTGGTGCACAAAGAGTTATAGGTTATTAAAGTAGTTGCAGTAGGCAATATATAATATGTTATGCGGTAATGCAAATGTATGAGTAATCATGTCAATCATACTAATGTTAATCATACTAATCATATGTTAACCATGTATTTGCAGTGATTCAGTGACAATATGTCAATGTATTAATCATTAATCAATGGAACACCCAAACATTAACAGTGATGCAATGTCATATAATCTATATCTATATACAGAAGTTGCTGCTTCATAGGTAAATATAGCAATGAAGCCATAGGATCAGCACCTCTCATAATCCCCATTGTCTTCTGTTGCTTCCTGGGCTGCCGCGTGGCTGAATGGACTGAGCATGTGGCTGTGAACCGTGCACCCCATACCATCACTAGTGGACAGTTTGAGTGTCTCAGAATGTTTTTTTTTGCAAACCCCACATTGTATCATGTTCCTCGTGTTTGTCTTTAATGACACTTTATAATGAAGGTACAAATCATGTACTTATGTAATGCTTAACCAATAATTTGATACAAGATCTATCATTGTTTCCTGTTACTTCCCAGATAGCATCATGTTATTGTTTCAACTTTGAAGTATAGTTAAATGCGTTGAATTATGGTCACTGTTAAATTATCACCGTTGAAACTGAATTGATTTTTCAATATTGAAAAATTGATGGTGGCAAAACCTTGATTCAATGTTGATATAAAGTGACTTTTTCAACATTGAAAATAAGATACTGAGTCAACATCAATATTACTGGAAACATTCAACATTGAATCAATTCATGCTCGGGGATGATCAGTCAACATTGATTCATGGTGGGTTCTTTAACATTGAATCAATTTATGCTCAGTGGTGAAATCAATATTGTTATATGCATTTGTCTTTTTAGTGTGTATTAATTATAATGATATACAAATTACAATTTCACTGTATTTGTAGTAAGAATAATACTTTAATGTAGACGACACGCATTGTCAAGCTTCAGTTCAATATTCAGTGTGTAGTAATTTTAAAACATATGACGCAGCATGAGATACCATCAATATTAACTGATCTATATTCTAATGCAAGGATGAGAATTTAAAGATGTGATGTGTCGTGTCAAGTTAAAGTAATAATGAAAACAATTGCAGCATAAAGAAAAATAGCGATCTTGTAGGTAACGCTTATTACCCTCCTAATAACACTAGAACTGTCTTTTCCCACGCCAATGAACAAGCAAGAACTATAACGTAGATTTTATACAAAAAATGTTATGGTTAAAAATGTTCACTGTTCACTTGTTTACTGTGACTTGTACACTTAAGCAAACTTAAAAAATAATAATAATAAATAAATAAATGACTCCAGCAGAGTGTCTCTTTGGGGTCACTTTTTTCGGTCCCAAGCCCCGATAAAGGAAGAGGGTTGGAATTGTGATATATAAAAAAACAAGAATAAAATTCATTTGTAGTTCTAAACGTAGTTAGGCTGTTTTTTAAAAAACTTTTTGTCTTTCCCACGACATTATTCCTCTCCTACGGCGTCCATTACAATGAACATGCACATTATGCAAATGAGGCGATGACGCCATTTAACGACTTCTCGCGACTTTTGGGACAGCTAATAGCGACTTTCCTTGCTGAGGAGTTGGCAACAGTGCCGGTATCGCGGCAAGAAATAATTAAGATGCATGCTCCTTGATGTTTCTGCATATGTATAGTGATAATGGCTACTGGAACGGGTTATAAAACTAGTACATAGTGAATACAGCTGTATTTGGTAGTGGGTTTGACATCTTTATGCCAAAGTTATTTGAATTAGTCTGGTAGACAATGTATTCTTATTTAAATGGGTATATTGAAATGCAAACGTAACAGTATTAATGCCATTTGAAAAATTGCATGCATCATATTGTGCAGTGTTAAATGAATGCTTTCATGGTGTTAATTGAGTTTATGATCAGATGTTAATGGAGTCATAAGTCATGTCTGGAACACAGCGTTTGAAATCGTGCATTTGATAGAGAACTGTTAACTCTTATGTGTGATGACTGGCAGAATAAAATACGCTGCAAGCCGTTTGCCACGAAAATCGATGTGTTGTCTTCTTTGCCATCACAGACAGGTACTATTCATGCTACAGCGCCACACACGCACACAGTCGTGGGTGTAACACATGCTTTTTTGCAAATAGTAAGACATTTTAATAAAAGAGAAGACAGCTATTTTAAAAGTGAAAGATATTGTCTCTGATGCACTGTAAAAAAATTAATCCGTCAAAAAATGGAAAATGTACTGGCAGGAAATTAGCAGCATATTTTCCATTACGTTAACGGACTCTTCCTTCAAGTCTCAAGGAAAATATTGTAGTGAACTTTGGGGGAGACCGCGTCCACTTCAGAAAGGAAGGCTCAACACAAGGAGTTCAAGTGCAATTTGGAACACGTCCAACCCTTTATTTTCCAGCCTTGAACAAGGCTAAAGGAACCTGTGTGCCCTCTTGCGTTCGGAGGTTGCACTGCACTGATTCACCTCATCCGTCCGCCCCTTCTCCCCTTTGCCGAGTGAGCCGCGCTCACCGTCATCAGCCAGGCTCTGCTTCGCGAGGATGGTGGGCGCGGCTTCCCCGGCAGGCAGCCTCAAAGGTGCCAGCACCCATTACAATAACACACAATGAACCCATGCCCTTCCACCAAGATTCAAGATTCAAGATTCAAAGCGTTTATTATCATATGTACAGAAAAGTAGTATTTCTCAGTACAATGAAATTCTTACTTTGCTGTCCACT